TAACCCCACTCCGTGTCTCCCAGTTGGATACTACATCAGCCCTTTTTAGATGTAAGGCTAAAGCAATGTCCTCAGGTCTAGGAACCTCCTCCAAACCTGTGAAGGGTGTTTGCTCGAGGATGGATATACCCAGTAAGTCAGAAAACTCCTCCAAAGTAGGAACTAGCTGATAATCCGGGAAGGTGAAACAATGATACACCGGATCAAAGAACTGGAAAAGCACGCTCATCATTTACTCATCTAACTTTGAAGTGACCAGGCTAAGGAGATGACCATGTCTTCTAACAAATGAAGAAGTATCAGGAACTTTTGAGACTAACTCTCTGAGCTAAGCAGGTATTTGCACGAAGTTAACCCGAATGGTGTTTCTGCGCATAGAAGCCATAATCTGCAAAACAGAACAAAGATAAATCCCCTTGGTCTTTGAAATGGTTAGTCTAATGAAGTATGCATGCTATGTTATGATGCATGATGTCATGATAAAACATACAACAGGTATAACAGGTAACAAACATGGTAAAGGCACACAAGTCACACAAGATCCCTTAAGTCTCGGGCTTGCATGGAGTCCAGGTACTACCCTCTTGAAGTTCAGTTGGTTTTAACCTGTCCTAATAATAGTAACCGGGTTCTATAGGTTCTCAATATCACAGACCATCCTCCATCGGTCATGGTTTCAGCTCACGCAATCTTTTCTTGCGGCCGAAACTATCTCGAAAGTATGGTCTCAATGAGTGTAGTATCGAGTATCAACCAGTTCTCATCTCTATACCGAGGCCGGCTATCTCACTACTTCCTATGGCCAAGTTGGTCAATTATAGGTTCTAAGGTCAGTTGATGCTTAACGACCCATATAGCATCCCCGTATTCTCCTTGTTTCTCCACAAGGGATACCGGTACCAACTAATGTGCCACATCAATGTAGCTACTGCTTCAACCGTATTGGTCTATGCCGTACAGTTCCCTCATAGTTTATTACTACTTACCTAAAAGGTGTTCCTCAGATCCGGGTTAGGATCTATAGTAACTCCGATACAAAGCCCATAAAAATAAAGCAATCAAATCAAACAATAGAAGCAATATGATAAACTAATCCTAAGGTATACCCCACTTATTATTTCCCCAGCAGAGTCGCCAGTTCTGTGATACGGTGGTAGAACCAGAACTGTTTTGAAATGCTAGTTTGCATTTGGCGTTTGTATTCGCAAAATGTCGCGGTAAGCAAGAGTCACCACCGACTTTTATTTTATCCAACAGGAAAGGAAAAAGGCATAGAAAAATTCCTTTTTCGAGATATAATGAGTACGGGGGGTAGATTATAGAAAGGGAAGGTATTAACACCCTTTCTATCCATGGTTTCCCATGGGCTCTTAGGTACTTGCTCATCATTTTCAAAATTGCTTACGTGTTTGTGTGTTTTGAAAAAAGTTTTTTGTTTTCGATTTAACCCTTGCTTCTGTCTTCAAGAGTGTTACGAAGTGTTTTTGAAAACTTTGTTTAAAAAAAAAGAGTGTAAGTGTGAAGAAGTTTGTTTGTATTGAGCAAGTACCTACTAGCATCTACCTACTCGAAAAAAGAATTATTCTATGTTCGTTTCCTTTAGACAACACTATCCCACTATTAGTGAGTAGGTAGCACCATCGTTGGACTTTTAAGGGTCAATTCGAAAAGGGACGTACGATCACTAAAGAAATGTTAGGACGTCTTAGTAATAACCCTAATGTCTTAAGATCAATATTCGAGGCAACGATTCCGAGGAAACTTTGATCTTTGAGACAAAAGAGCGACCACTAAAATACCCTATACTCAATGATCGTTTACCGAAGGCAACCGAAGTGGGAGTATACCCTAGGAGTGCGCATGTCCGAGTGATTCAATTTCAAGTTTATTATCTTAGCACATTTAGGGTTTCCTAACCGTTTTAAAGTTTACATACATTCTTGTCATGCATCCCTATTATTCATACATCTAACAATTAATATTTTTGCGGAATTTAAAGTGCGGAGAATAAATCTAAGCTATTACAAGGCTTTGGGTGTTAATTACATAGCCAAAAAGAACCCGTAAAAAAAGCGATAAATGAACGAAAAAGTCCTAATTAATCAATTACATCTTGTGAGCAATTACATCAATAGGGTAAAAATACATAAACACGATGAATCGAGAACGAGAGAGAACTAGGGTTTTGACCCCGTCTAACCTAATCGAAAGAAACAATTATTTTTGTTGTTTTTAACTATTTAAGAAAAAGAATAAGGTTTTTAAATTAAATACAAAATTAATTAGTAATTAAATTAATTTAAAGAAAATAATTTACATGGCCTATTTTTATATTTTTGGTTATTTTTTAAGAGAAAGAAAATATAATTTAAATTAAACTAAAAACCCTAATTTCTAACTTGTTTTAATTTTTTACAAAATAATTAAAGTTACCCTAAAATTGAACAAACTAATTAAATTAATTTTTGTATAAAAAATAAATTCTAAATCTAATTGGATGAAAATTAATTTTATGGTTTTTTAATAATAAAAAAAAAGAATTGATTTTCTGTTAGTAAAAATAATTTAAATAAATTTATTAAGAAAATATATAAAAAAAAGAAGAAGAAAATGGGCCTGTGAAAGTAATTTGGAGGGGTGTGTTGCTAGCAATTCTTGCCCAAAATAGGTTGATCCATGTTGACTTCCATGCTCCCATGCTGCATGTTGACCAAGGCGTATGATGGTCCTTCATATGATGGCCTTTAGATCTGGCCATCTGGAGATCCAAAGGTTCAATCCTGAGGTCACATGGTGGTCTTTTGGCCTTGTCTGCGCACCTGAACATTTAAAGAAAAACAAAGTGAAATATGGGGGGACCTGGGATTCGAACCCAGGTCCTGTGACCTTTTCCAATAGCCTTGCTACCAACTGCGCTGGACACGTTTCTTGTACATAGAATAACAACAATTGATAATATATAATAATGAGAGTTAGTGGGGAAAAAAAAAAGCGCCAGAGTTCAAATGACCCAACACGATGGTGCCCCGTAGGTCATCCCTGTCCTCGCTCCGTTGGTAAAAGTTAAAGACTTTTACCTACGGACAACATCCGTCACTACAACCCTGGCTTGTTTCAAAATCTCCCATGGGCATGATAAATGAATTCTAACACTGTGAATTGATTCGTCTTGGTCAGCTGAGCATGATGGTGCCCTTCTTGTGACCCAATTTTACCTGTGTGAAAAGATCCCAAATCGAGACCAAGAACCCTAACAATGGTGGATTCTGATACAACTTCCAAAAATGCAATTAAATGATATAAATAGCTTGCAAATGTGTTTGGGATTCAGAATATATAAGTATTTCATGCTATAGATGCCAAAATCATGCAATTCGATTTCAAGAAGAAGCCATGGTCGGGGCTGACTTACAATGAGTTATAGTGTTGGAAAGTCCTTGTTCTTGATTGGTATAGCTTGCTTGTGATCCCAAGAAGCGAATTAGATGGCTAGAGGGCCTTGAAAATTCCTGGAAGTAGCAAAACGGATTACCACTTTTCTTTGATTTTTTCAAGTTTGGTTCTGCCTTTGTGCGCCTCCAAACCTTGCGTTTTAGGTCTGCAAATGTTCACTATATACCAAGGATTGAATTAGGGTTGAAATTATGCTCTCAATCTTTATCCATTATGGCTTTTGATCTTGATTTGATTCACTTGAAAATCTTTCAAAAAATAGGCCAAAACCAATCTTTTCATGCACACAAAGGCCTTGCACGAATTGATTCACTTGCCAGCTAGATATAGGACCTGAAATATGCACAAGATCTTGAGGTTTCAATGGTTTGGATTTTTCATGATTTGTTTTGATTTAAATTAATTTAATTGCAATAAAAATCAAAATAAATAATAAAAATAAGATAAATACAAGTGGAAAGAGCTAGGGATCGTGTACCATGCTACCAACTCAAAACAAGTGCAAAAGATTGGGCCCATTTAACAAAAATTGCAATTTGAGGCATAATTGACTTTTGACAATTTTGCAAAAAGGGTCAACTTCACCAATGCATAACGTCCTCAATTTTGACTCTTTGAATGTGTTATTGGACTTTTTAGAAATCTTGAGATGTCCTCTAAGCAACCCTTTTGGTCTCATCTCAATTGAGTCTTCCATGTTCATGTATGAAGCTTTGACAAAAAATGTGTTTTTGTTGACTTTTCAAAATGACCTATAATGTCCAAATTCATAACTTTTTGTGAGTTCATATTTTGAACTTGGGAGCTGAATATGAATTGTAGGGAATTGCATCATATTCAAAATGAGCTTTGGATGGGTCATTTCTCATAAAGTATGAGTAAGTTATGTTTGGTCAAAGTTGAGTTGACTTTTCCTACAAAACCCTAATTTAGCAACTTTTGGGTTTTGATGAATTGTGAGAAATTCTTGATGAATCATGATCAACCCTTGATCAAATTATGAATTATACTTCAAAATGAGGATGTTGACCAAAAATCTTGAAGTTTGACTGTATGTGGGCCACAGTTGACTTCTGCCCTAGCATCGTCGATTTTTAGGCTTTTGAGCAATTGACTGAGCAAACTTCCTCTGCAAGGCTTGAAACTTGACATGGATGATCTTGAGTACATATTAGGATAATGGTGATAATTTTGGATCCCTTGAACTCAAGTATCTTGATGCAACATGAAACCCTAATTTGAGGTAGACTGCCTTAGGAGAGAGTTTGTCTGGTCAACCCTTGGGCTTCCTTGAGCAATTTGAAGACCTCACTTGAAATGTATTGAGAAATATGGGAGGGAAAATTTTGGGGTATAACACCATCAATACGATAACTATCAAGTATCTATTTCTAATTCCTTGTTTGGAATACATTCTTGACGAGTTGGTCAGTTCTAAGGTGTTCTCGAAGATAGATTTGCATAGTGGATATCATCAGATCAAAATCAGACCCTGAGATGAATAGAAATCAACTTTCAACATAAAAAAATTGTATGAGTGGTTGGGTATGCCTTTTGGGTTATCAAATGCCCTTAGTACTTTCACGAGGTTGATGAATGAGGTTTTACGCCTGTTTATTTGTTACGTCATAGTGGTTTATTTTGATGAAAGCACTTTCATGAGGTTGATGAATGAGGTTCCGCGCCTGTTTATTGGTTATGTTGTTGTGGTTTATTTTGATGACATTCTAACTTATAGTAAGACCAAGACAAAGCATCTGGAGTATGTGAAGCAGATGTTTCGAGTCTTATAGGAGAACCAATTTTACATTAATCAGAAAAAATGCACATTCAACACCAATAAATTTCTTTTCCTAGGTTTTGTTGTTTGTGAAAAAGTGATTCAGGTTGATGAAAATAAGGTGAGTGCTATCAGCGTTTGGCCTGCACTTAAATATGTGACTGAGGTTCGTAGCTTTCATGGTATTACCACCTTCTATATGAGGTTTATCAAGGACTTCAGTACTATCAATGCACCTATTACTAAATGTTTGAAGAAATGGAAACTCATTTAGGGGGTTTGAGTAAGAGCATAATTTTGCATTGGTTAAGAAGAATCTATGTATTGGGCCATCATTAGCACTTCCTAATTTTGATAAAGTGTTCTAGGTTGAATGTGAAGCTAGTGGAGGGGGAATTAGAGTTGTGTTGTCTCAAGAGAAGAAACCAGTGGAATTTTTCAGCAAAAAATTAAGCGACGCTTGCTAGAAATGGAGTACTTATGATTATAATTTGTATGAAGTCTTTATAGCTCTACGCTAGTAGGAACGTTATTTGGTTAAGAAGGAATTCATTTTTTTCACTAACCATCAAGCCTTAAAGTTTCTTCATAGCCAAAAGGTGATAAACAAGATGCATGTTCGGTGGGTGAGTTTTATGCATAATTTTTCTTTTATATTTAGCATAAGTCAGGGGCTCTCAATAAGGTAGCAGATGCATTGAGTAGGAGGGCTTCCTTGCTAATTACCTTAGCGCATGAGATAATAGGTTTTGAGTGTCTGAAAGAGTTGTATGAAAGTGATATTGAGTTCAAGGAGTTATGGGCCAAGTGTAGTGGAAAAACATCCTTGTGCATATTTTTATATTCAAGATCGTTATCTTTTTAAAGGGGGTTCGGCTATGCATTCCTTGCTCATATTTAAGAGAGAAGTTATTTCAAGACCTGCATGGTGGTGGTCTTAGCGGTCATGTGGATAGAGATAAAACCATTACTAGCCTAAAAGAGAGATATTATTGGCCACACTTAAGGAGATACGTTGGTGCTATAAACAAGAGGTGTTATACTTGTCAGTTTTCTAAAGGCCAGACTCAAAATACTGGTCTTTACACGCCTTTACTTATTCCTGACAATATTTGGCAAGATTTAGCCATGGATTTTGTGTTGGGCTTGTCTTATATGCTGCGAGGTGTAGATTTTACGTTTGTTGTATTAGACAGATTCTCCAAGTTGACACACTTTATTGCATGTAAGAAGATTATTGATGCATCCAACATAGTCAAACTGCTTTTTAGGGAGGTTGTGCATGTTCATGAGGTTCTTAGTCAGTTACTTTAGACAGGGATACCAAATTTATTAGTCGTTTCTGGATTACTCTATGGAGATTTCTTGGAACCTCGTTGAACATGAGTTTTATAGCTCATCCTCAAATAGATGGACAAACTGAGGTAACCAACAAAACTTTGGGGAATATGATTCAGAGTGTTTATGGAGACAAGCTGAAGTAGTGAGATTTAATTTTACCTCAGGGTGAATTTGCTTATAACAGTGTTGTGCACTCAGCTATAGGGAAATCACCATTTCTCTGATTTATACTTCTGTCCCTAAGTGCGTGGTTGATTTGGTTAAGTTGCCTAAGACACCTGGAGTTAGTACGACTTCTAAAAATATGGTTGAGGAGCTGGTAGTTGTTAAAGAAGGTGTTAAAGCTAAGTTAGAGGCTATTGAGCAGAAGAATAAAACAAATGTTGAAAAACATAGGAAGGTTAACGTTTTCAATGTTGGAGACGATATTATGGCGTTTCTGTGTAAGGAGAGGTTCTTAATCATTACTTACAACAAGTTGAAACCACGCAAGTATGGCATGCTCAAGGTGACCCGAAAGATCAATGATAATGCTTATGTGGCAACTCTCCTAGATTCCATGAATATATCCAATACTTTTAATGTTGTTGACATTCATGAATATGAAGTCGATGAGGCTCTTTATCAAGAAGAGAACTCGGAGTCGATTTCTTCAGACGTGGGAGAGACTGATGTATGAAGGCTGATTGCGCATATCGAAGAAGAAATCGCGTGTCGAAAAACATTTTAATATTTTACGCAATTTTCTATTTTATTTTTGTTTTGATTTAAAACCCCGTTGGGGTCTCTTTAAACCCATTAGCATTTTTTTCCTGTATTTTAAACACTTTTGATGTGGGTCAAAGATCATCTTTTAACAGTTAATAAAAATTAAGTTTTTTCTTCATCTGACAGATTCTAGAGCTTGACAATTTTGTATTTACAACCCTGTATTTTTATTTTAGGTTTAGCGCTTTCTAATCCCTAATATTTTCGACTGCATCATCACATCACCAAAATTTGATGAAATTTTAACTGAAGACTAAAATAACATTACAAAATAATTTTGAGAGTGCAAGATCGTTCAAAAACGTATAAAAAGTTAAAAATCACATTTAAAATTTTAAAATAAAAAACTTCATTTAAAAAATAAAGACTCTAATAAACAATACTCTCACCTATAAAAAATAACTGTCATAGTAATCCCTTTAAGATAAAAATATGATATAAATGAAATAGAAGATAATATTTTTACTAAACCGTTATAGTTTATTACTAGTATATTCTAGTTACCATAAATTTAAAGTGAGAAAATAATAATGATAATATTAATTAAATAATTTAAAGTGAGAAAATAATAATGATAATATTGAGTGAAAACGGTTGTAGTTTCTTTTTGTTTAGGGTAGTGATTTTGTTTGGAATTTTGTTTTAACTTTGTTGCATGTGTTTCTTTTTTACAGTTTTTTTCTTTAAAACACTATTAATGGATCTTCTTTGAAACACTACTGATTTGTTGATGATGCAATGATATAGAGACAGGAATTTGAAACTGCAAAAATATAGTCACGTGAATTTATACAGTTTAATTGGTTGAAGCTTCATTATTAAAAATTTGAAAAAGAAGATGAACAATATTACTCAAAATTTAGAAATAGTTTTTAGCGTCGATTTTTTCGACGCTAACTTCGTCACAATAGTTGATTAAATGAGTTACGTAGATTTTTAACAGATTTTGATTAACGAAATAGATAAAAGAGACTTGTTTATATCGTTTTGAAAATTAAATAATCAATTTAGCACGAATGAAAATAAGAAACTAAAGTGAATCATAACCTATAATTATAGATCAAAATACATATTTTACTTAACTTTATATACTACCCTTATTTTAATGAGAAACCACCGCAATAATAATGGACAAGAAAACAAACAACCAAAGAATGAAAAATCAAATATTATGTAGAGTTTCATACTTGTTAATGTTTTCTTTTGTTCTCATTGAAATGGACCACTACTACTATGTGAAAATCGTACACAGCTTACAGGGTAACCGATTCTGGTAAGAGGACAATGATTGGTGTTAGGAAGAACCATAATAGGTAGAGGTAGAGGTGTCTTCATCTCAAACTTTTTATAGTATGGCCTTCTGTCTTCTTGCTTTTACTTTTTATAATGTGAAAATTTAGTATTGTCAATCTGTGTTCTACACTCATGGGAACCACCTATGCCTTCACATGCATTTCCACTTCATTTTTCAGTTATTTTAATAATAGGTATAGGTTTTGCTAGCATTTCTACTTAGATATTTAAGTCCACGCTACACAATTTTAAAGTCATGTTTCTTTCATATCTACAATTGTTTAAAAAAATAGGTTTAAATGGTCTTTTCAACGTGGTTTTAATTTTGGTTTATAATTTTTTTTTATTTGAGTTTCAATATCTCACTTTTTTTGTTGGGATAAGTTTCTAACATCAAATTTTCGTTAAAAAATTGTTTTATATTTTTCATAGCTACCATAGCTTTTACCACAAGTGGCTATAAAATCTTTACATAAATTAGGATTGAATACTCCAACACTTCTAGTTTGACGAGATACTATAATAAAAGATTTTTATAATTCAACTATAGTCGTAGTTGAGTCCAATTTAAATGATGGTCCCGTTTATTTTAACTGTCATCCAAATTTTAGTATGAACCTATCTAACGAGTTTACACCAAACTCTTTAGTTATCTATGTACAGACTCTTGGAGACACTTTTAATTATGGAGTTGCCAACATAGATGTCATTAGTAGAATAACATATAAAGTTTCTAAGGTCAATTATGATTTTAAATATTTAAAATCAACCCCTAGAAATGAGACTTATATTATAGAAGCAAATTTGAGTAAATCAAATGTAATGACCCCAAAAATATTAACCGCTTCAGATATAATTAATAAGCTTTCAGAAGAATGGATACTAAGAGATGTTGTTAAAATTGATAAATTAGAAGTTAGAACCATTAGAGGTGTCATTCAAGACATTGACAGATCTGTTAGAATTAGAATGAATAGGAATCAATCCCACTTATACTACGCTTCAAGTAGTGTTAGTACTTCCTCTAGCACTAGACCCTTTGTTGATAGCGGTCAACTGATTCCACCATTAGAATTAATTTAGTAGTACTTCCTCTAGCACTAGACCCTTTGTTGCTAGCAGTCAACTGATTCCACCATTAGAATTAATTTAGTAGGTGTGGACTTCAATCATGACGTCCCCATCCCAATTTATCAAGAGGAAGCCTCTAGGTCACCTTCACCTACTGCTTCATAAGTTTTAGGTACCCTAACTAGGGAAGATCCTTTCATCATAGATAAAGTGGATAAAAAATGAGTTTAACTCAGATTATAATAAAGAAAAGAGGGATTTGTATTTCTCCTCTTTCGATAAAACATTAACAAAAATATATTTAGAAATTTTTTATGAGTTTTTTAAATTGTCACGAAATTAATACACATTTCTTTACTTGGTTTGAATTATACTGTTTAGAAGAAAAAAAATTAAAAATCCCTACGCTCATAAAATGTTTTTAGATGTTAATACCATTATTATTACTCAATGAAAAACAATTAGAAAAAATAATATTAGCTCAATACACACACCTTTAGAAGCTATTAAAATAACATCGTCTGGAAAAAATGTTGAGATAGAAGCATGTCCTTGTAAAACAATTATACGTCCTGATGAAACTTGAAAAGATATTAAGAACATTCATGGTCAACTTAATTTTACCAACCAAATATTAAGTACTATGTCAAACTAATTAGAAAGAATTTAGGAGAACATTCCTCATTCTGTTGATGTACCTTCTACTAAACTTGACCCTACTAGACCAATATATCATTATGATATTCCCTCAAAAGATAAACTGCAAGGTATGATGTTAGGTCAAGAATCTGATGGAAATTATATTAAGGAGAATACTTAGACATTATTTCATAGGTGTTGTTTATACTTTTCTCCAATAAAAATATGAAAAATATACCTAAATATCTTTTAAAGAGTAAAAATAGGAAGAAATTGCATACGTGTAAGAGAAAATTATACACTTGTCACATTTTCATTGAAAAAAAGTATAAAGCACATCTAAGGAAATACACTTAAGTTTTTTCCTTATATTAATGAATTAATTAAGAAATTAAATGGTTTAAATTTAGAATCCATATCCACATTACATACCCTCTCCCACGAAGGAGAAAAAAACAGTACCTTAACTTTAAACAAATTAGGGAATAGAGGCCCTAGACCAAAAACTAGAAATTATTATCCTAGACCTTCATTTGTTGACTTGGAATTTGAAGAAAGAAGTAGCTTTGTAGGAGATAACTACTTCAGAGAATCTATAGTTGAATGGAACATATATGGTGCATCAGAACAACATGTTCTGGATACTATTTAATAAATGACAATGGTTGTCACCTCCTTTAAAATTAAAAGAAATAGCGATAAAAATATATAAGACACGATAATCATGGGCTTTACTGGTCAATTAAAGGGATGGTGGGATAACATCATTGCTCTCTAAGATAAATTAAAAATTGACATGGTTGTTAAAGGCGAAAATAATGAAGAAAATTGTGTTACAACTCTCCTTTATGCCATTATTAAGTTCTTTGTAGGAGAACCCTTAAAACTTCAACAAAGAGCATCTAATCAATTAATGAACCTTCATTGCCCTACCATGTTTTATTATCATTGGTATAAAGACATGTTTCTTTCTAAACTTTTCCTCAGATCAGATGGATCAGCGAATTATTGGAAAGAAAGATTTATTAGTGGTTTGCCGAGATTATTCGGTGGAAAAGTTAAAACCAATATTAAAGCTAATTTTAATGAAGTTGTCCCATTAAGGGCTCCCAGTAATCCTAAAAATAAGAAGCACGTTAGTAACAAAAGAAAAAACTCTCATTACCATAGAAAAATTATAAAAAAGATAATCAAGAATTTTATAATAAGTCCTACAAAAAGAAATATGGTGAGAAACCACAGAATAAAAAATCTTACAAAAAATCTTATAACAAAGATAAAGATGTTAAATGTTTTAAATGTGGTTCTTTTGGCCATTATTCTAATAAATGTAATGTTAAAGAAAAAATATAATTAAATTAGTAACTTAAATATTTCTGAAAAATTAAAAGAAAGCCTTATTAACACTTTAGAAAATTTTATGCTAAACAACGAGGATTCTTCATCCTCCTAAGAGTTCTCTTGTTAATCAACTTAATAACTCGAAAGAGTCAGCCTATAACTCCGATGAATGCTTTGGATTAGATTTTTGCGGTTGTAACAATTGTTCTAAAAGAATTAATATCCTCACAATAGTCAAGCTAATACATTAATCACCATATTAGATAAAATACAAGACTCTGAAAGCAAATATGCTTTCATGCGTCAAATAAAAGATATTATTGACGATAACAACGTTCGTAAAAATGATATTCACAAAATAGAATTTAAAGATATTTTGAAAATGTTTGAACCACCTAAAATAATTACTTTTAACGATTTAAATAATGAAATAAAATTATTAAAAACTGAAATTAGATATATAAAGGAACATGGAGATAATTTAAAATTAAAGTTACTTGAGCTACCAGGAAATTTTATTATTAGTTAAGAACAAAATATTAGAACAACATAGACTCCTTCTTCGTC